TATTTCTTAAATAAATATATAGTAGTCGCAACTACTATATTTTGCTTAAAGCAGATATTTGCCAGTAAAAGCTTTCTTAAAAAAATACATTATTAAGGCACAGAGCAACAACAATAGATTCATTTCAAAAATAAATTCAATATTTTTACTACATACTATGTTTTTAACCGTATTTTGTACTCTACTATATTATTAGAGGTAACCGCTTCGAAAATACTATATTTGATAGAAAAAAACCTTACCTAACCTAACCTAACCCTACTTCGGACAGCGCGTCATCTCAAAAAGTTAGAAATTTCGGACAGCGCGTCATCTCAAAAAGTTAGAAATTCAATTGGTTGATTTGCACCATGTTTTTTTTGCTTTTTTAGGGAAGGTTTATACGGTATATAATACGATAGTGTTGTAAAACCTACCTTCCCTTTTCCCCCTATAAGGCCGAGATTAAAACCACAATAGTCTGCACAGAAGCGAAGCGAGTGCGAGTTCACTAGAATATTAAAAAAGCTTGGTTAACTCATTCATCGAAGTTTTCAAATCTTTCTTTTTAGTTTTTAATTGATTTAACACAGCTTCATTATCAAATGAAAACAAATGCATAACTAAACTTTTGATGTTGACTAAACATTTTTTTATTTAATCGGTAGTTATAGCTGAGGTGCGTGTAAGTACATAAATTATGTGAATTAAAAATTAGAGCTACCACAACAACATTAGGTTACAATAATAGATCCGGAAATTGACGACCTCCGTGGCCGAGTGGTTTGTACGCCGGGTTTCATGGCTGCCGCCAACTCGAGAGGTCCCGGGTTCGAATCCCGGTGGGGGCAGATGTTTGTGTGATGAATATGAGCATTTGTACTCCAGTCATGGATGTTTAATATGTATTTATATAAATATACTTATATATGTACAGTGTATGTATTCTATCCGTTACCCTAGCATCCCATAACACAAGCCTTATAGTGCTTACTTTGGGGCTAGGCTAATTGGTGTGTGTCGAAAAAAAAAAAAAAAATCGGAAATAAAAACATCTTATTTTTTATTTGGCTACACTGTCTGTCTAATTTCGGCTGTAATTTGTTGGTGCTAAAAAAACCGTATCTATTAAAATATTTTAACACAGAACAAATTGAATTATTTTTTGTATGTTTTTTTACGTTATAGAACTATGACGGTGACTCAAATGGAAGATTGTATTGAATATTTATGGTGTATTTTAGTCCATAGTTAATAAAGTTGTTTGTTATTATTATTAAATTCTTGAAACCATGTGGTTCCTAATGTATTTTCAATCAAAATTCATTCTGACTCCACCAAAATTGAAGTATTTATGTTTTATGTATGTCGGCCATGATGAACGTCAGTGTTTTATTATTTATTATTTTAAGCTTAATTTAAACCAAGTAGTTAAATAACTGCTAGGTTTATAATAATAATAATAAATAAATATTTCCAACACTCACATCTAGCCCCAAAGTAAGCACTGTAAGGCTTGTGTTATGGAATACTAGGGTAACGGATAGAATACATATACAGTACATATACAGGGTGTGACAAAAGTCCGAAATAAAACTTTAGGGTTTGGTTGTGTTCCTTGTATAGAATTACCTACGAAAGTTTGACGGCTTTCAGACCACTTTTATTTTCTAATTAAATTAATAAAAATATCGTTTTACACCTGCCTATGACAACCCTATAAATGCGTACGATTACTACTACCTAAACAGACCCCCCTCTTTCCCCCAGGCGTCCCTGTGCCCCGCTCAGATACCTACAAATTTCGGAATACATACCTACAAATTTTATTTCGGAATTCTGTAACACTCTGTATATAAGTATATTTATACAAAAATACATATTAAACACCCATGACTAGAGCACAAATGTCCGTATTCATCACACAAACATCAGCCCCCACCGGGATTCGAACCCGGGACCTCTCGAGTCGGCGACACCAAGAAACCCGGCGTATAAACCTTTCGGCCACGGAGGTCGTCAAATCTAAAGAATATTTTATTAGAAGATTTCGTTTCTAGTAAAATTTAGAACGGGTGTTCGGCCTACCGTGTTGCATTAATTTTGCCATATGCTTTATGGGTAACCCTCTATTTTTCTTTTTCATAATAAAAGCTTATTTTATTTCTGGTATAGCTCAGAATTTTTTTTGATCCGCTTCGAAAGTTTTCTGCAATATCCAAGCCATTATCAGGAGTCATTACCCGTATGTTACATACTTAGTATAAGTAGTCTCGATTAGCGATGGCATTTTTCATGTGTTAAATTACGTATTACACTAACTACATGTATAATAGGTTGTCACATTGTTAGTCTCCTTGCCTTGCGCGTGATGCGTGACTGATGGGACAAATGCAATTTATATAGTTACATCGTTGAAATAACGATTCATGATAATGACAGATCTGTTAATTATTATTTTACATTAATAACACCTCACTTTGAATCGGCAACAAGCTTGTTATTTATCTACATTTGCTATGTAGTAGATTCTTCGATTTACTGATGAGATTTGAAATAAAAATTATGATACGGTAAATAGAGTTACGATGGCCCCTTATTTAACAGTAAACAGTTCAGATAGTAAATCGCATAAATATTGTGAATTATCCGTGGAACCAGATCCACTAGTATAAGCACCGCGGTATGATATATATTACGTTTTTATCACACTCGATGGCTAATGTATAAACGGTCACAGATCAAGATATCACAAACTGTCAACTATTCTCAAGAGATTGTGAATTATATATCAATCAATATAAATCTTAAATAAAGGACATTGCTCGTTCCCCATACATTGAATGCCCTAGAATGCCCAGCAATGAGAAAATGCTAGATGTGTTCGGAATCATTCATAAACTCTAATTAGGCATTTGTTGAGATACGGACAACTTGAGGAACCGTGGCCTACTACAAAATGTATAAGATTTTGAGGTTATAATTATTATACTTAATCGTAAAAGATGTACACTTTATATATTCTGAATAGATTTAGTATTTACCTCTATGTAAGCACTTAAAAAATATGCATTAAATGAACATAAAATGCAATGAATAATAAAAATAATAAATGCTTATATTCATATTGATTTATGAGTGTTGGCAGTTGGCACCTATGATACCTATACCTACCTGTAGTAATAATAGATTTCTTTTCAAATGAAATGTTCAAAGTTTTTCCATTTACCTACCTGTTTCTATATTTAACTATCGGTAATTAGGTCTGTACCTGGTTATCATTATGATTTTCATAAAAATAAACAGATATTACATGGGATGGGAGTATAAACTATATTTACATAATTTAAGAAATAATCTTTTTATAAATATAATATAAATACTAGTAATAAGTATTATTAACTAAGGTACCTAGTTCTATTTTTATGTTGATAAATACCTTTGGTCGCCTTGATTGCATTTATTAAGGTAATCAATCTTGGCACAACTTTTTAACAGAATCACCCTTTTAATAATAAAATATTAACGAAGCCAATAAACTATTGAAATAAATCGTTATTACAGACTGAAACCTATTGAATCCAGTTATCAGTTGATTTTTAATGCTGTATTTTCAATAAAAAGGAGTGCCAAGATTGTTTACCAAATAGGATAGGATGAACAGACTGTAGTATCTAGTAACAGAACTTTTATTTTTTATTTTTCTAAACAGATTGTCCGCTTACTATGATTAATTGCTTATAAGTTAAAAAATAATAGAAAAATAATAGTGAAGGACATTCTTTTGGTCATGCTAGGGCCGATTTCGTCGATGTCCTTTGATGGTATTGGTTAATTTAACCTGTGGCTATGGTACGATACGGCACTTAAGAGTTTGACAGTTAAACGTGATAAAAATATGATTTGAATCATATCGCGGTGCTCAAGATTCGGGTGTTGGTTTGATGAGCAAGGAATTATGGTAACCAAGTTAGGGCAATATCATTAATTTTCCACATTATCTTTAGACAGGGGCGTGCACTGATTACTTTACGGTTTACAGGTGGTATTCCCCAGCGGCGTGGAGGTGAAGGAAGGCAATGAGTTGACCCCGACCCAGGTCATAGATGTCCCTACGGTCACATGGGATACTAGCCCGGACCAGTTGTACACTCTGGCTATGATAGGTGATAACAGAAATTCATCATCATTATAGGCGTACGAGACCCACTGATAAGCAAAGGCCTTCTCCAAAGATCTCACCGATCGGTCCTTGCCATCCAACGGCTTCTCGCGACCTTCGCTAGATCGTCGATCCACCTCGTGAAGGGTCTGCTCATTTTTATGGGTTCTTGTTCGTAATTCTTCAATCACCATTGATTTGTTTATTTCCGAATGGACGAAAGATTAGCCATAACCTGCCCATAGCGATTTTGACTCCCGTCTGGGGAAGTAACATTTTGCAGGTGATTTGTTTCTGTGGCCAATAAGGCTCCAGTTCAGAGCTACACGGGGTAGTGTATTTGGTCCAAACCGGCTAGGCGACAGCTATCTTCACGAATCTAAACATATAATAATATGGTAGGAAAATCAAAACTGTATATTGAATATTTTTTAAAAGTATACTTGGTGTGTGATCTACAATCGATACCAAAGCCAAAGATATAGTTTTTAGAATTGTTGTCTGTTTGTCTGTATGTATGTCCGGGATAAACTCAAAAAGTACTTCATGGATTTACTTCACACAAATATTATTAAGAAGTCGGGTCAACATATGGGCTACATATTATCACGCTATCACCTACGGAGAACGAGCAGTGAACCTTTATTTCTAACTAACTCCACGCGTACTAAGTCGCGGGCGGTCACTAGTACTTACATAATAATATAACATCAGGTGGCGTGGGGGAGTTATTTCCGCAGCTACAACTTCAATAAAGAAAACATCAATACGGTACTCCAGACACAACTTTACATTACAAAGGAAGGGTGAAGTGGTTTGAGCGGCTATTTCTTAAAGTAAAATTATTACTCCTTGTCGCATGCGCATAACCCTTATATACAATGCAGAAGATCGCATAAAATTGTATGCGAGATTGAACGTTATCACCGGGTGGCGCCATCTATTGGATGGAGTATGTAGCGCGCCCCCGTACCAAACTTCAGTCGCTGCCTTCCAAACACCACATGGTTCGAGAATTTCTACTAGTTACACCTATTAGCTGACTGATCACTTAACTGCTTTATCACCAGTATTGTAATGTTTTAACAAATATATCTTGCACTTGTAAATTCTATCAATTAAATTACCTTACTAGGTTCGAAAGGGAAATACGAAGGATAACTGAGTTTTTATTGAAGAAGACTCCTGCTTCTATGCCCAAACACTCCTTAAATACTTTAGCAATGTGGGAGAACCCAAATAATCTGTATCCAGTTTAATCTGTAACGGTTTTCGACACCCTATGTCGTCCTGTAAAACTCTCTTTACCATTGAATAACAGAAATATTATCAATTGTCATAGATCCCGACGCGCCTTCCCGCCAATACCCTAAGCTCCGCGAATTTCGCCACTGGCTAGTTGGCAACATCCCTGGCGGCAACGCATCCGCTGGAGAAACCTTGTCGGCTTACGTCAGTCCTGTCCCGCCACCAAACACTGGCCTCCATCGCTACGTATACCTGGTGTACAAGCAACCCTCCAGGCTTAATTTCGATGAATCTCGTTTGACTAACACGTGAGTGTGGTATTACTTAGTTATGTAAGTTATGTAGTGTGGTATTATTACAGGATATTGTTCCGGCTTTCATCGCTAATTATTTAATTTCGACGAGACTCGTCTCAATAACATGTGAGTGTGGTTTTAGTTTCGTAACATTACAGAATAGTGCAGTTTTAGTTCCAATCAGGACTGGCTAACGCCGAGCACAGGCCTCCATATCTTGTATACCTGCTGTATGAGCAACTCCGTCTTACTAACACTTATTTTTGCATTTAGGTTTTACAAAGATGTTTAATACCCTAGATACAACAACACGAACAAAATTGTGACCGAAACCTGTCCAAAAGTTACACTGGATGATCCACGGACTCGTATCAGTAAGATAACTGCGTGGTCAAAAACAATATAAGGCATTATTAAAACATTTAAGGTCACCTTTAATGCATAGATCATCATGTCAGCCGTACGACGCCCAATGCTGAGCATAGGCCTCCCCCAAGGATCTCCACACCGATCGGTCCTACGCCACTCGCATCCATCGGCTTCCCGCGACCTTCACAAGATCGTCGGTCCACCTTGTACTTCCGCCATTCCAGAACCTTTCCGCCCCAACGGCTATCGGTTCTTCTTGCTACGTGTCCCGCCCACTGCCACTTCAGCAGAGCAATCGTTCGAGCGATATCGGTTACTTTGGTTCTCTTACGGATTTCCTCATTTCTGATTCTACCGCGTAGGGAAACACCGAGCATCGCTCTCTCTATTGCTCGCTGTGTGACCTTGAGCCTTCTCATGAGACCCGCAGTAAAGGACCACGTCTCGCTTCCGTAGGTCATCACTGGCAACACACACTGGTCAAAGACTTTTGTCTTGAGACACTGAGGTAATTTGGACGCGAAGATTTTCCATAGCTTCCCGAACGCTGCGCATCCGAGCTGGATACGACGAGAGATCTCTTTCTCAAAGTTGGACTTACCTAACTGGATTGTCTTTCCTAGGTCAACGTAACAGTCGACAACTTCGAGTGTAGTGTTCCCAATTTTAACTGAAGCAGGTACTACATTGGACATAATTTTCGTCTAATCCATCTTTATCTTAAGACCCACTTTTTGGGAAGCACTACTAAGATCTTCGAGCATCGTGTTAAGATCTTCCAAGGTCTCAGCCATAAGAACTACATCATCGGCGAAACGAAGGTGAGAAAGGTACTCGCCATTAATGTTAATGCTCGTCTTTTCCAATCCAGAAGCTTGAAAATATCCTCCAATGCAGCTGTGAACAGTTTCGGAGATATCACATCTGCCTGTCTCACGCCTCGCTTCAATTGGATAGGATTAGAGTTCTGGTTCTGTAATCGGACTGACATAGTGGCGTTTTCGTAAAGGTACCTTGGTACTGCGACATACCTGTAGTCTACTTGGCACCTTTGGAGAGACTGTAACACCGCCCAGGTCTCAATCGAATTCGAAAGCTTTCTCATAGTCCACGATGGTTAAGCAAAATGGCAGATTATACTCTACGGTCTTCTGTATAACCTGCCGCAGCGTATAAATGTGGTCTATGGTACTTAAGCTTTTTCGGAAACCGGCTTGTTCGGGAGCTTGGAAGTCGTCAAACCTGCGTGCGAGATGATTCGTAATGACTCTCGAAAACAACTTATAAACATGGCTAAGAAGCGAGAGTGGTCGATAGTTTTTCAAGAGTGCTTTGTTACCTTTCTTGAAGAACAGGACAACCTCACTTGTGGCCCATGCTTTTGGCGTTCTGCCTTCGAGGATGGTGGAATTGAAAAGCATTAGCTTACCGCCCGCTCTCAGAAGTTCTGCTGTGATTCCATCATTGCCCACCGACTTGTTGTTTTTAAGTTGTTTGAGAGCCATACTAATCTCAGACAGGCTGACGTCCGGGATATCTTCAGTGTAGTGTCGAGTAAGCTTGGCTCTGGGGTCTCTAGCCTTGCTTTCAACAGGTGCTTGTGTGGAGACAGGTGCTAGCTGTTCATAGAAACTCTCAATCTCACTCAGGATTTCAGCCTTAGACGAAATGATGCTACCGCTGTCAGTCTTCAGTTTCGTCAGTTGGCTTTGCCCAATAGACAGATTTCTCGCAAACACTTTGGAGACTTTGTTGCGCTCGATAGGCACTTTGATACAAATACGTATTAAATCAGTGAAGATCGCTCGTCAAGGACTGTGATATGTGACTATTTAGCAGCCGGTACTGACTTGCATCTCCTGAATGCTGTAGTCTCATTTCGTTCCGCTGTTCCATGAGTAGGAGAGTTTTGTCAGAAAGTTTCTTAATTTTGGTACGGTGGGCTTTAAAATACTTGGACCCTACCGTACGGACAGTATCCACCACCGTGTTGTTTAGATCGTCCACATCTAAGCTGTTCGTCTCAAGGGATTCGAAGCGGTTTTGAAGTTCGAGTTGAAAGCTCTCGGGGTTCTGGAGTTGTGCAGGAATTGATCGGAGCGTAGACTTCATCATCCGAGATCTTTCGAGCTTAATGTTGTTATTCAATGTGCCTCGTACTAACCGGTTATCACTTCCCGTTTTAACGGCGTTGATCACAGAAACATCATTGAATATTAGCTTTTTCGTCAACATGATAAAGTCGATCTCGTTTCGGACTTTGCCGTCCGGCCTCATCCAGGTCCATTTTCGGTTTTGGGATTTCCTGAAGAAGGAGTTCATCATATAGAGGTTCTCCTTCTCCATAAAATCTACCAACATCTGTCCTCTGGCGTTCCGTTGTCCAACTCCAAATTGTCCCACTCTCAACTCATCACCGCAACGCTTCCCTAACCTTGCGTTAAAGTCCCCCATCACAACCATGTAGTGTGTTTCGTAGCTATGCATGGCTTTTGTGATCTCCTCATACATAGCTTCGTCATCTGTGTGCGTCGAGGTCGGAGCATAAACCTGTATGACATTCAACGAATATCGTTTTGATATTCTGAGTATCAGGTATGCTACCCTGGTCGACACACGATGGTGATCATGTTGTGAACAAGGTACTTGTGGACGATAAACCCGACACCGCCTAGGGACTGTTGATCGCCCTTCCGGTAGTAACTTGCTAGTTACCGGAATTGAGGATTATCGAGTCCTCTCCCTCTCTTCGGACTTCAGATAAACCAATAATATCCCAACGTAACTTACTAAAAGCCTCTTCTAACTCTATTTGCTTAGCTTTGGACCTCAGTGTGCGCGTATTGTAGGTTGCCAGGTCGAGTCATCGTAGGTGGTAGCCGGATCTTACCCGGGGATTCTTAGCATCCCTTGCCCCGCCGTTACCATAGCTGCTACCGTGGCTAGGAAAAGCAGGGCTGCCGGAGACTGGGGGAGAGGTGGTGTTATTCTAGGCCGGCACATACACGGCAAATGCATAGATATAAGGTCTAAATGCACGTGTCAAAGAGTTATGACAGTTAATAATGCAAACTCGTACAATGTTAAGTCGTGACAATTTACGATTGTTGTAGGCGGAAGAATGTCAACTTTATTTCTTTGACTCTACGCGTTATTCTAAATGCTCTGTTAGCAATTTAGCAGTTAAGGAGCGCGAGGAAAAGAGACGGCTATATAACCATGCATTTGAATATCACAAATATTTTCTATTAAATCAGTTAGTAGTAAGTAGTGAAACAAAATTTACTACAAATGCGTTAAATTAACAAACATTGATTAGGTAACTGTCGATAAAACGACACTCTACGTACTATAGGTATTTTTTTTCGTTGTTTTTCACGGACATTGCGGCATCTTGACTTTTTCACTGTCCATTCGTGACGTGAACGAGGAAGTGCTTGAGTGTGTTCAAGCACTTCTTGATTGGGACACATTTCGAGCGCACGTGGTGCATCTAGGGTTTTCAATATCGTTACGTTTTTATCATTAAATGGTCCAAGCACAATGGCGGAGATGCAGAAAAGTCATGGACTAGCTCTGAGGCTATGTAAAGGAAATTATTTTCGGAACTTCTTGAAATGATATTAATTTTTCTGATGATGAAAAAACCTGACAGTTGTTTGTGTATGATCATCGTGAATATACAGACAAATAGTTTTATATTATGTAATGTTTTCTTTCCCTTCCTGTCGAGCATGCATGAATATAGGATATTATCATCAGGCTATTAATGTCCCCACATCCAGGGCACAGGCCTTCGTCCCTATGGATAGAATAGAGAGATAAGGCCATGACGCAACACGCGGTCCCAGTGCAGATTGGTGGGTGCTACTGCAGATGCAGCCAGGATCAACGGCTCAACGTGCCTTCCGAAACACGGAGGAGTTCGAGATGAGAAGTTTTGGTCACCCATCGAGTGACCGACCACTGCGAAAGTTGCTTAACTTCCACGATTCCTGAGCCATCGAGCTTCTCATGTGATCTTAAACTACCTCTAATATTTCTGTAAAATCAATTTAATCTCTCCATTTGACAGGTCTGGTGACATCCGTGCGAAATTCTCCATCGCCAACTTTGCCAAAAAATATAACCTCGGTGACCCGATAGCCGGCAACTTCTTCCAAGCTCAATACGATGACTACGTACCCTTGTTGTATAAGCAACTTGGCGAATAAACCCAACTTAAACCTGTGTATTTGGCGATAAAAGACCTTATTTTAAGTGCAGTGCGACCAAGATCTTTTGGCATTTTTATTACATTGGCAAGGGGGTGGTGCTGATGAGTGATGAAATGAGTATTACGAATTATGTCAAATCTCATCACTTAAGGGATCTTTGTACATAGTTAACAATATCTCGGAAAGGGTAATAGCAAATAGAAAAAGCTTTATTACATCTCCCTCTAAAAATAAAAGGCTTATTTATACCTAAAATTAGTTCGAAATTCCACCACGCGCAAAAAGATTTTGGTCACACTGTATTTAGGTTTTTTTGTCATTAGTATAGGTGAAAAGACTTTGGCTATTTACTGATCCAACCTATTTTGAAGATTGGCATAGACACGAAGAATGGATTGAGAGACACGTATATGAAATTGGTACCTTTAGACAGAGAAAAAACAACTAATAAGTGGTCTATAGCCCGCCCAGTCGCTTAAGGGGGGTTAGGCGCACAGCGAAAATTCAGATTTCGTGACGATTCCGCACCTGAGGTGGGGGGTGCGGCCGCGCGGCGCGTGGGAGCACGCTTATTTCGTTGCGTGTGCTGCTATCAGTATTTACTTCCATGTAGTAACTTCTATCTACCAAGTAACGTAGGAATACAAGGGAAATTATGGTAAATTGAGATGAAATCAATTCGCTGTGTATTTATGTGTACATAAATAATAAAACACAACAAATAATAAACATTTTAGTATAAAAGATTTTATTTCGCTCTTTTTATAAGCATAATTATACAAGCAAGTCTATTCTATACAGTATATTTTTTTAATAATTATGTTTTTTTTTCATGTTGTACTGTCATAATCTATTATTTCTACTATATTACTAACGTAGAATAAGTCTACTAACAAATATGGATCACAGTTGTCTGAAATAAATTAATTATTATATTATTATATTCACCTGTAATATTGAAGGAGAAAATAGAGAATAGGGTAAACGATACCTATAACGAGTGTATCATGCAAGCACAAAAAACATCGATAGTAGTAAATTATCGTAAGTATTTTTCATGTACATTATGAAAAGTCAAAATATGTAGGGTAAACGACCCAACTATCGAACCTGTCTACAGTTTCCTGCAAGTGGTTTAACGTAACATAACGTATCATCCTTACTAATACTATAAACACGAAAGTTTGTATATTATTGAAATAAACACTTTACACATACAAACTTTCGCGTTTATAATACATATTAGTTTTTTCGGTGAAAGAATACTAAACGTCCATTGATCCATATTTGTGGACGTTTATTACTCTTTCACGCACAAACTACTGAATGGATTTTAATGAAACTTTACAACAATAAAGCTTATAAATCTGAATAATATATAGACTATTATTACCCATGGTTTCACTTACGTGGGATTTAGTTTGTTACACAAAATCTTTATATTTGGCTTCGGGAATCAAATCTAAACTGGTTAGGAATGTGAAATTTTGATATATGATATCCCATATGCTGTTTTTAACCCAGATAAATCTAATGTCCTATATATAGGATGGTACATTTAAAAAAAATGTCTAAATAGCCGATTAAGTGGGGCCTCGGAAATGCAATAAATAATATTGAGGATATATTTGTTTCTTAGGTACACGCACATCACTCATTAAATAAAACAAGTTTGTTCCGACGACGCATTCCTGCAAAGGATGCGAAACGTCGATAAATATATAAAATCAGTGCATCTAACCCGTTGAAACTTGTTGGATTTAATATAGAGGATACTTAGAGGCAGGTATTAAAAATATAAAATACAGTTATATTGTAATTTTTCAAAGTATTTTTCATTGTAAAATGTATAATAATTGTCAATTGTAGACATAACAATGAGGAGTTATCTATAAAAAATATATTTCTACTCTCTAACATATATAAACGCGTCAATTTCTCAAACTCAACTGTCTCAGCGCGGCGCCGAACGCGTTTATATACGCCAATCGACGCATTCTAGAAAATAACCGTTAAATTGAAAGTTAGCTAGCACCCGCGAGTGCGTAGTACCTACTTATACCTACGCGTATAATTTGTAAACAAATGCAGACGTCGTTGCACTTTCTCCCTTAGGCAGCACTGCATAGGGCTCATATTAGAATGAGCCGCACCACTCGACCTTTATCACGATCCGTGGTGTTATGGTAAATTCGGTCTCTAGTATTTTCGCGGTGTGGTTTCGAGAGCGTTTATGATATATATCTATTTCTGCTATACATTATATAGCAGAAAGCATAGCACTTTCGTTGGATAGATAACTAGTCCCGGATAGGCATGTTCCTATTATGCCGTGGATCGCACAGTTCCTATAATACATGATTTATATAGAATGACACGAGTTTATCTTTCATTTTTGTTTCCCAGAATGTATCGTCGCGATATATGGTCTCGAGTTTCAAGTCTTGTTCTACTCCAGACCACACTGCAAAGATGCATCTTGTTCTACGTGTCACGTGCATTTGACCTTGAATTTGTATGAACCAAGGATGATTTTCGTTCACAATAAGCAGTGAATCTCCGTTTTTTTTCCAAAACTTCACTTTTCCACTGACAATTGCTTCCTCTAAGCTACATTTATAGGCTGAAAAGGGACATTTTACTTCTACAATGGTATCATCACCTATCAATCCGTCAGGTGTTGCACCCAAAAAAGGAATTTCTGGATCAATAAATAGGCCGCAAGGCCTAATTTGTTGTCCAATTTGTCGCTCTAGTTGCTCCAAAGCAATTTTTTCATTGGCGATACCATGTTGCACCGATGCAACATGACTAATATCTCGGTTGTAAATTATTTGTTTTACAAGATTTTTGGCACTCGTAGTCTGCTTCCTTTTCACTACTTTCGCAAAATTAGAAGCGGTGATAAGATTACGTCGTACCTCCAACCACTCGCTTGAATCACGCTGCAGCACGGTGTTTCGTTCTATTACCTGTATTTCCTCGTTTGTTTTATGCAAGTCTTTCAAAAATTGTTCTTTACATTTTGAAAGAACATCATCAGGCATATCTGGACGTACACATGATTCCCCATAATGCTGATCACTGTTCTTTTGAGGAAAAGACGCTTTTTGCTTTTCTTCTTTTGTGATATTCGGTTCATCCTTCGAGTTTCCAGACGTTTTAATCTCATTGGACTTTTACTAAGAATACTTTTGTGCAAAGTATACAAGGGTTTTTTGGAATTAAAAGATACAACAGCAGCATCACAACGTGCTTGGTAACCGCGTTTCAGTGAGAAATTGACGCGTTTGCCACCCACAAACTTAGCAACGATGCTATTAAAACACTCGACCCTGTTGCTGTCAACGTCACATATGAGGCTACGGGATTTTGCCGCCACGGATGTAACAATTGTTTTAATCCTAAACCAGATAGTGGATGTTTTCAAAAGAAGTGTCAAGTCTTCGCTCATCTGACTACTTTGGCAGTAATAATCTTTGCAGAAGCTATGGTTTCCAAATGCGTGAAAAATTGAGTTGGTGATATCGGTATAAAGGTTGGTGATTTTTGTGTTTAAATTGCAATCCGCAGACATATGTTTCTTTATTGCACAGCAAATGACTCTCCTTACAGCTAAAATTCTCTGAGTCGTAATCTTTTTTCTAAGTTGTAGGGGAAATTTCACATCTGTAAATACAGTTTTTAGCTTTGAACACATATTTCTGAAAATGAGGTTACGGCATTCTATATTCTCGACACTAAAATTGGGATAAACTCGAGCATTGGATATTTTTTTGAAAGTACTAGAATCTCCGTCAGCCACCATCCGCGCATAAATTAGGCCATGGGTTTCAAGAGATTGCTTAAATCCTTCCAATAAAATATCTGATTCCATGGACGTCGACGAACCGGAGTAATTTTTGAAACATGTATGTGCGATTGGGATCTCATTTTTGTTTTGAGCTCGAGCACAAACACAACAATATTTGTTCTTCACCCCTATAAAAAGAACCTCACCAAATGTGCTACCTACTATTGCCGCCGCGCCTGAAAGGGCCGAATAATTGGTTTTATATGAGCGCTTGGACCAAAACCCATCTGCAATCACATCTATGTAGGGTATAGCGTCTTTTGTCACGTCCCCTCTTTCTATAGCAGCATCCCTTTCACGTTTACCAGCAGCTAACATTAGATCAACAGCAGCTTTTTGCCATTCATCGCAAACCTCATTATGTAATCTATCAAAATGTTTTTGGTTTAGACTGGGCAAATCCATTGATGTACACAATTCTTCAAACTGTGAGAAACCTATACCAGTGGACATTACCCCACTTATTGCAGCCTTATTTAAATCTAGTTTTATATCCGGTTCATTAGTATCCACAAAGAAATTAGCGTTACACATATTACAAGTAAATTTTAGCTTGGATTTAAGTCTTGTTTTTTTTTTCCGATACAAGAACTAAATTTTGAAGACCGCAACCAAAAGTCGCGCTGTGCATGGAAATTTTCTTCAGGTTTTCCAAAAAAAAATTTATAGACACAATTCTTCGTCCATCTATATGTAAATCGACTGCCGAGGAGCGGACACCAGTTTCAATTTCAAATTCAGCGACTGTTGCATTATTTGACTGTTCTTCATATCGGTCTTCTATATTCTTTAAGCTAAAAAATAAGAAGATACATATATAAAATGCTGTAGCTTGCGTATGGAAGATTATGTGTGAAGTTTACGTAAAAGATTGAAGAAAAGAAATAATGAACAGAGATTACTTACGTGCTTCTGTCACAGTGTATTTCAAGTGTTTGTATTTCTTTTGGAGATTTACATTGTAGTTCCAAGTGTAAGGATGTTCCAGCCACATTTCGTAATTCAGTAAAAGTTTTTCTGAAACCACATCAGATATCAATAAATGAACAGTATAAGAGCCTATAAAGAAATCTACTTAGGTAGCTGTTTATACCTTTGTATGTAGGTAGAGTACTAAGACGATACTTACGTAGTTTGATCATTTGGCATGCAGCTCTGTGCTATGATGTCCATTGTTGGTACATTTACCCTGTTGAAATAAAACAAAAACCGAATAAATAAATATATAGCTACCTAAGTACACCTAGCTATGTTTCAAAATTAAAAGACCCAATATAGGGCCAATAACCCTATTTTTCAACAAATATAAAGCTATAATTTTTATTATTTTTAAAGCATGTAACTGCTTGATGTTTAAATCTAAAGAAAATATAACTAGAAAAAATTCCACGCGGACCAGGCAGCAGACGGGACTCGAACCCGCACCCTTCGCAATCCGGGCGAATGCACTGACCAATTATGCTACCGCGGCCCTCACGGACCGCGTCGAAATTCTTTCTAGCTATTCTTAAGCTGCAAGGCAGCGCCATCTCTTCGCATTATAGGTAAACCCACAATGTCAAATGAATACTTTTACAAGTATTAAACATTTGAAAGAAGAAATAGCAATTATAGTTATAATTTT